CCAGGAGTCGAAAAAGACCCCTCCGACCACCCGCGGAAGGACCTCTCCAGGCCCAGGGGGAGGGGGTAGGGGGAGGGGTAAACCCTTCCCCGAAGGGGAAGAAGGGGGTTGAGAACAGAGCGGGCTCTCTAAACCACTCACGCCCAAAGGGCTGGTGGGATTAAGTTGCGGGTGGATGGATGGGACGATTGCGCGAGCAGTGGAGTTGACAATTTCACGCTCGGCAAATATAATTGCACCGCGCAGATTGCACCACAAAGGTTGCACCACGTAGATTTGTTCTGCAAGAATATTCGTTTCCTCCACCCGAACGGCCCCCTTTTTCGAATTGCCAGTTACATGCGAGTCTGCCCCATCGTCCATCCGAAATATGAATTCGTACCGTCCCAGGCAGGCCGGCATTCGCCCCCCTCCCCCCCCCTCGCCCTCGCCAAAAAATTGTATGCGCGCGTTCTCGCTTTTCAGACATCATTTTTTCAATGATCCCTTGGGGAAACTTGGCACGAAATGCACGAGCGTGCGTCGTTTCGTGCGCATGCCGAAATCTTGAAAACACCTTGGGTGCCAGAAGGATTTATTGAACCGGGTGCCCCGAATATATAAACAAACATGGGTTCGCAACACGAATTTTCAAAACAGACTTGCGTTCGGGTTCTTGCGAATTCGTGTGGAAATTGCAGGTTTCCAAAATGTCTATAATGTGCTACCAAGCAGGCCTCTCGCCCGCGCATGTCGGAATCGCTCGAACGCCTCTGCGCGCGTGCTGTCGCAAAAACCCTTTACATACCAACAAAAACAGGACGAAGTGGGCGCGCGCGCGTCGTCGCGCGCATGTCGAAATTGTTCAAAGACCTTGGGTTTCGAAAGGATTTCACAGTCGATTGCCCCGAAAACATATAATCACACACTGTTTTGCAACATCAGTTCTGTTTAAATGGTTGCGCTCACGATTCTGCAGAATCTTGAGCAAACCATAGGTTTTCCAACATGTTCATTGTCGGCCAAGCGGGCCCGTCGCGCCGCACGTCATAATCATTTGACCGCCCCTGTTCGCGACCGTCATCGCCGCAGGCGTGATCAACATCGGCGCCGTCATTGGTTTTGCCGTCGTCGTTGTCATCGTCGTCACCAGCATCGCTACCACCATCATCGCGTCTTCCGTTGTCGACGTTGCCAGGATACCGCGCCCGCCCAAGTCGCCGACTCGCACAGGAGTGCCCGGTTGGAAGTGCCCAGCGGTCAGCGCCACGGCGGCCGCAGAGATGCACCAACCATTCCCAAGCACGCATCGCAATCGCTGTTGTATGGGTTTTGCAAACCAGGTTGCAAGTGGGTAGGTGAGATGATTGCGCGAGCAGTGGAATGGACAACGCGTTGGGGACAACAGATCGTTGCACCACGTAAATTGCACCACGTAGATTGCGCCACATATCATGCTAGACCACAGCGTTTTGGGCCCACGCTGGCTAACATGTTTATTGGTGTTGACGATTACACCCCCTCACGATTCCCCGACATATGCTGCCGTTCCCTCGCATGTGTCATCACATATCACCTTCTTTCATCAAGCCCAAATGTCAAACGACCGTGTTTTCCGGACACATTGTCCAGGCATGCGCGCGGCAAAAACCAGCGATTGCAATGTTGTCGGACGCAGATGCTACAAAAGTGGTCGCAACACGGTTGTGGCAGCAGTGCCAAACCAGAGCAGTGGAGGTTATTTGGCGCAGTTACGAGGTCGTGCGCGAGGTCATATGGCAGAGATTAGCGGGCAGGCTCAGCAGAGGGGCGGCGGCGAGCGACCCTCGTCGGGAAGGGATGCGCCAGTCCACATTGGAATAGAGAAGCCCGCCGGCTGGCAAGCATCTTCGGTGACCTCAGAGCCCCCTGCCGCGCCAATGTCTTGCTTCATAAGTACCCGTTTCGGGGGCCCTTGGGACCCAGGAGGCCGTGCACCCGCTTCCCCGATGCCGTCTGGCCCCTTCGGCGGCGCAGGAGGCGCACAGCATACGGCCCTGATGCAGATCGGCATCTTCCGGTCCCCGGCGGCCCGCCGCGCCATCGTTGCTTGCGCGCACCTTCGGCCACGCAGAGACGCAGTCGAGCCCCGCGCCCACTCACACGGCCATCATCTTCGGTGGACCGGCCAAATCAGAGCCTGCGAACACACCCTGCCAGCGGTTCAACCCAGCGCCCAGCGTGTTCGTCGCCCCGGAGTCAGCAGGCACGCTGGGGCCAGCAGGCAGCGCCGAGACGACCCGGAGAGAGGAAGGTAACCGCCGACGCAGATTGCAACCCCCAGTCAGAGATCCGACGTCGTGATTTGCTCAATCCCGACATTTGTGCTCCAACTCTTGGCAGCCGGGAGTTGTCTCGGGCCCCTGGGGCCATACCAGAACGGCCCAGAGCCAACAGACAAGCTCATGGGAAGGGGTCGAGACTTCTGGGGCCCACGGGTTGAACAAATCACGACGTGCGGCGGCCCCTCGGCGCCCAGGTCCAGCATGGTGGTGCGGCAGTGCGTCAGCGGCGGGAACAGCCTCGACGTGCAACGCCGCGGGATGGTTGCCAAGCGCCTGGCCGAGGGGCCGGCGGAGCACCGAGGTCGCAGGGCCCATGGCAACCGCGAGGAAGAGGTCGTGGCGCCGAGGCAGCGGGCTGCGAGGCCGAGGTGCGGTGGTTGACGCCAGCACCAAGGCGAGGGGGCGGCGTCGGGCCTCGCGGCCACTGCGGACTTGCAGCTCGAGATCGCGCTGCGGACCTCCGGGCGGCGGCCGCCCGAGTGATCTGTGCGGCCAGCTGGTCGGCGGCATGGAGTTGTGCGCAGTTTCTCTGAGACCCCACGCGTTGGCTTACAGCAGACTGGAGCGACTTCAGGGAGCGGTTGAAGAGATGGCTCTCGCTGTCGGCTGCGTCCTGCCACCATCGGCTTGCTGAAGTTGCGCGGCGGCGTCGGCGCGGTGGGCTTCTTGATCGAACGCGGGAATATCCACTACAGGACCTGCATTACGAAGGCCCGAATGAGATCCCGGAAGAAGGTGGCGTGGCCACCCTCCTGCCCGTTGAGGTGACAGCGGATGCGCACCAATCACGAGACCGCCACCTTTGAATGCGTTGTCTACCCGACGAGTGTTGATGAGTCGACGAGTTCGGCCAGATCAACAGAGCCTGCGCACGTATCCGCGTGCAGGCGCTCGAAGTGGAGACCGAGCTCCAAAACGGAAACCTGACCCTGATCGGCAAAAGTGGAGTCCTTGCGGCCTCTTGAACCAGTCGCCATTGCTGATGAACGCTGCCGGTTTCCCAGGCTTGTCGAGGACGCGGGTGCGCGACTGTCTCTACAAGGAGGCGCATCAGTATTAATGGGATGGACGCACCGGTGCCGCCGTCGTCCGCCATGCCTCGCATCCTCGCCGCCAGACTGTGCGCGCGAGCGATGGAGGCCAGCAGCGTGGCGAGAGACGCGCTCAGGCAAGACGCCGCCATGGCACGGGCTGTGCTGGCCTAAACCCCTTGGACGCGCGCGCGCGCACATGAGGCGTGAATTGCGGCGATTGGCGCTGCCAGGGTGGGAGGAACTGAGTTGGGCGCCCAGCGCTGTCAGGTCTTGTTGCTGCGCTGCAGCGCCGTGCCAAGAATCAGAGCCCGATCTCTTGACGCCGTTGAACATTGGCTGTGATCTTGGAGACAGCGAGCGACGCGCTTGCGGAGTCACGAAGCGCCTATGCGGACGCGCTGCGGTGCAAGAGTTCTTGCAAGAGTTACAGCTAGGCGATGGCGATGTGGCCTCCCCTGGCCGCCCCGCCAGGCTGGGGAGAGCGATTTTCTTTCATTCGGTGAGAAACACATTCCCCCGCCCCCAGTGGTGGGGGGCACGCGGCAGAGGCTTGTAGGCGGGCTGGCTGGTTGGCGGGTTGAATATTTGGCCTGGCTGGCTGCCTGGTTGGGTTGAGGGTTGGCTGGTGGGCTCGCGGCACCAGTATGTCATTCATGCGTGCTCCACCAGGTGCGCGCTCGCGCAGGAACGGCTCACTCAGACCATGGTCGAGTAGCCACTGGATCTTATCTGGTGCCCTCCATGCCAGGATCATGATGTGACGGATATCTTGCTGGACCGTGATTCAGGCAACTTCCTGGCGCTTGTGGCTCCGTTTTTGGCGCGCCTTGCCATGCAGGCCACGGACGTGTACCCCCAGCGCACTTTGATCGCCTTTGCGTCTTCGCCTTCAGAGTGTGTAGAGTCGCTCGACCCCCCTGCGCAGCCGAATCCGAGGTCGGAGATCGGTTCAGGCGTGCGTCGTGCGCTAGTCGGTACGCCCATGAACCAGAAGGAACCTCGTAATTGTCCGACGGGGCCGTCGATCGCGCGCGGTGCAGGTTCGAGCTCCAGCCGGGCCCGCGTGACATCCGCGAACGCCAACACGGCGCCATGCTACGCTCCAGGCCTTGTCGGTGCCCGCCCCCAGGACAGACCACGCTCACCAGTTTGCCGCAAGCGCGTTGAGTCGCAGGTCCGAGATGCGTTGCGTCCAGCGAGGAGACCGACGTGATTGGGCGAAGGTGGAGGCGCGGGCAGGGACGCCATTTGTTGTGTCGACTACTTCACACTATCCGCGACAACACCATCGCGACCTCCGCTCAAGTGTATTTGCTGAGGGGCGAAGTCTGCGCAGCGCCACGGGTGCATGGTGCGGACGGGCTTGCGTTGCCTGCTTGCGTTCCTCTTCGTCCTGATATTGTCATCATATGCTCTCCTTTCAGTTAGCCTTCGAACGCGTTGCGCGATCGCAGTCGTTGCGACAAAAAGTGTCCATTTCCGCCATGCTTACCCTTCCTCTCATTCTCCAATTCGTCTTGTTGCTCATCCACCCCTGCCCACTCCTCCCTCTCCTCCCGTCTCCCCTCCTCCACTTCCCCTGCGTCCTCTGTCTCCGCCTCCTTCTCCCTATTGATACATGTCCTTGCTTGTGTACCCTGCTGTGCTCCGACCTGTCCCACAGATTCTACACCCGAGCAGTGGCCCACGCCTTATCTGGGACATGCTCACGATGATCTTCGTCTCCTACGACGTCATCGTGCTCCCCCTGGCGTTCCTGGAAATGGAGAGAGGGGCTTGATGGATTCGATGTTTCTGAGCCTCCGGGCGTATGTCAGCAGTTGCGGTTGGTCGAGAGCTCTCTTTGGGCGCCAGAATTGTCACAAGCGGTGCTCTCAAATCTCAGCAACGGCCCAATGGCCTTTAGGGAAGGGGGAAGGAGGTAGGCAGGCGTGGAGGGAGGGAAGGTGGTTGACGGGCGAGGGGGCGGAGGACAGGCTAGGTATGTTCGCGCCACATCGGGCATCCTGCCCCCCACCCCTCCCACCAATCCATCCCTACTGCGCTAAAGCCTCTTCGACCTGCCGAGCGGAAAGTTTGGGCAACAGAAGAATTACCCGCGAAACGCAACCGTTCATGTTAACCATGGGCGTGCGTGCACGGGAATGTTTTGTTGAGGGGTTGTTCGTGGTGCCGTCTCTTACTCCTAACAAAATGTCTGCCCCTTCTAAAGCCTCGTTTGCTCTCCGCCCTCTTGCCACCCTGGGCTCAGAGGGGATGTTCAGTGCATTGGCCAATGATCTCCCCAGGTTGATGCGCACGCCGTTCTCGCTTGTGGCCGTAACCGTGCTTGGCGACAGCAGAAGAGTTATTCGCAACAAAAGCCATGCATGCTCACCATGATGATGACGATGTAGATGATGATGCTGCCGATGATGATGACGATGATGCTGATGTTGATACTGATGACGACGTTGATTGTAGACGGGCGTCAGGGGAGGGGGGTGAAGTTCTTGCCCGGGGTATGTGCAGAGAAAACCAGATACTCGTGCAGGATGTAGGGGAACAGGTTTTGGCTTCGTGGGGGCATGTCGGGGGTCCTTTCTGTGACCTTTTTGGGTCCTCCTGGATGCATTGCGGGCCGTCTTGAGACCAGATTCAGCCGCCTTGAGTCCAATTCGAGTTGTCTTCAAGGCATCTTGGGCCATCATGGTGTCCTTGGGCGCCTTCATGGGCAGTCGTGGAAGCTCGGGATGCGGACCCCTTTGTTTCTAATGAGGAAGCGTGGCCTTGGAAGCGCGGACCAATTTTTTCCCAACCATCCTGTGGTGTTGGGTCTTCGTTTTGAAGAGACAGCGCCCCGCGTCCTTTCCTCTCCGCTCGTCTTCCTCACTTTTCGCATCCCTGCCCCAGCCCTCCGCATGTTAACCAGTTTGGCACACCCCTTACTCGTTTCGTGACCCCACAGGCAGCTCCACCAAAGGCCCCAGCGGCATCGTTAGCATGGCGTAACTGCACCCGGTCCGGCAGACCCCTCACACCTGTCAAGGCCCCACAGAGAGCTCCACCGAAGGCCCCAACAGCAGCGTCCGCATGGCGTACCCGCGCCCAATCCGGCACACCCCTCACACGCCTCGTGGTCTCATTCGGAGCTCCACCGAAGGCCCCAGCAGCAGCGTCCGCATGGCGTACCCGCACCCAAGTCGGCACACCCCTCGCGCGTCCCGTGTCCCCATAGGCAGCTGCACCGAAGGCCTCAGCGGCAGCGTCCGCATGGCGCACCCGCACAACAGCCGGTACACCCCTCACACATTTCGTTGCCCCATACGGGGTTCCACCGAAGGCCTCAGCGGCAGCGTCTGCATGGCATAGCGTACCCCACTCGTCACACCTCTCACACATTTTGTGGAACCAGAGGGAGCTCTCCCGAAGGCCCAGCGGCAGCCTCCGCATGGCGTACCTGCACCCACTGCATCACACCCCTCACACGCTTCGTTGCCCCATAGGGAGCTCCACCAAAAGCCCCAGCAGCAGCGTCCGCATGGTGTACCAAAACCCGATTCGGCACACCCTTCCCACGCTTCGCGGCCTCATAGGGAGCTCCACCGAAGGCCTCAGCGGCAGCGTCCGCAAGGCTTACCCGGACCCGATTCGGTACACCCTCATAAGTTTCGTGGCCCCACAGGGAGTTTCACCGAAAGCCCCATCTTGGCCCTATATGGAGCTATCCCTCCTTCGTTCCGCTTGCATTGCGATACGCAGGCCTGCATATGTTTGGGTCCTTCGCCTGGACAACTTTGCAAGAGAGATCGTAGGCGCGGGAAGGGGTGGTGGTGCACGCAGCACTCTGGCATGCGGAGGGGGGGGGGCGTCGTTTGATACAGAAACGCTGCAGAGCAGAGCAGCACGTGGGTTTTCGGCACGCCTCAACGTGCCAAAGGGGCACAGTGGCGGATACATGTATCCCTGTCCCTCGCCACCCCCTTCCGCTCATTCTCCCCCCCCCTGCGCCTCGGTGTTATTTTGGTTTCCTCACATCGGGGGGGCGGGAGACGTGAACCGTTTTGAGCCAAAGTGGGAGCTTCGGCGAGTTCATGACAGGAGCGTGAGGAGGGGGAGGTGAACGTACAGGAAGAAGGGACGTTGTGGGGTGGGAGGGGGAGGTCGGCGGAGTAGGGATAGTAGTGGGAGAGGGGGGCGGATATTCCTTGCCCATGAATTGCCGATGACACGCTGATCAACGAGGGCAAGACGTGGACAGTCCGCCAGATACCCAGACCTTCTTCGGGCGGAGCCGTTTGTCATGTTGACGTCAGTTCTCGCTCGAGCGAGGTGCAGCAAGAGGTTTCCATGTCCGAGCCAAGCCAGCCTAACACCTGAGGTGGAACAGCCGAGGCCCGCTGGTATATGCACGCAAGGGCTCGCTTCTGAAATCAATCAGTACGCAGCGGTGTCGTAGCTGTCGCAAAGTGGTGCGCTGGACACGAAGGTGTTTAGGGAACCTTCCAGAAGGAGGCTTCTGCATAGAACACGGGCCTCGAATGCCAATTGGCATGCCAAACAATGCGAAGAGGGTGGTCAACAAATACCTCCTAGTGGTGACACGCGGGCAGGATCCGCGTGCGGGGTGTGCCGAACTGGGCGCGCCGACGATACATGAGCCTCCGCACTCGCTGTTGGTGGCGCGTCCAGTGGGGTACTATCCGTGTAAGGTGTGTGTGTGTGCTGCAACGAGCACTCACAAACAGAGGAGGTTGGATGTGCACGAGACGGCAACGGCTGGCAGGAAACAGCGACCAGCAGCAGCGGGATGGAGGGGACGATGGACATGTGATGCGGGACGGAAGGAGGCGGGCGCGCGGTGCAGCGGAGAGAGCTCGAGGGCCCAGCAGCACAGGAGAGTCGAAGACGATGTCGGGTGATATGCGTCTCGCGCTCTCGAGACTCTGCGTCAACCATACTCGTCGTCCTATTTCTAATTCCGTACTCCTCCTTCTCCTCCTCCTCCTCCTTTTCCTCCTCCTCACCCTTGTCCTCGACTCGTCCTCGTTCTCGTCCTCCTCCTCGCTCTCCTCCCCGGCATGCCCCTCCTCGTCCTTGACTCGCCGTGGCTGCGAGGAGACGCCGCCCGCGATGGACGGGATGAGCTGGCTTCTGCGCGTGCACGGGCCTCGGCCCGTTGCCACGGGGCTTGGCTCGGGCTTCCGGGCGGGCTCCTCCCGAGGGGCTTGGGGCTTGGGCGGGCTTCCGGGCGGGCTTGCGCAGCAAGCGAGGGTGGCGGCCGTCGGCGGGTCCCTCTCCGCATCCATGTTGCCACGTGTCTGCCGCAGGTTTGGGCTCAATGCGCGCCTCTCGGTGCTCCAGGTTGCCCATCAGGCTCGGTGTGACTCTGGTGCCCGCTGGCCGGAAAATGCGTCGCTATCGTTGCCTGTATTCTCTCCCATGCCCTTGTCGGTGTCTTCGGCCTGCCCGTGCCCCATGTGGGCATTGCGAACTCGGCGCGACCTCCATGTGGACTCTCTATTTCGTAGAAAGCAAGTTGCAAGCAAGCCGAATGCAATTGGTATAGCTTAGTGGCGGCAAGCTGAAATTTAGAACACGCTCGCGATGCCACAGGTTGCGGCGTTACGTTGTTTGTTTGGAGAATTGCACTGTCAATCGCTGCAGTCATATTGATTGCATGCGTGACATCTTTCTTCGTTTGTATTGCTATTAATTTGAGTTGAGATAGTTTGCTTTGAATTGCTGTGGACTGCAATGCAGTGCATCCCCTTGCACGGATTTGCACGGCTTTGCGTTGCATTGCGTGGCGTAGAAACTAGGTTGCTGTCCAAACGTGAGGCTCAGGAAATTGAGCTGCAACACTATTTAGCGCTAAGCGTCGAGATGTGATGCAAAGCAAAGCATTTGCATCGGGATCCAGTGCAACGCGCTGCAATGCGAAGGAAGCACTCTTGTGGGACCCTAGGGGATCCGGGGCGGTAAAGAATCCAGGCGCCATGTGGAAGCCCACGCGGGCTTACGTGCTGAGCCCGGGCAGCGCATTGCCACCGTGCCCTTTGCACAACAATAAGCGGTGACCCCGTAGAGAAAGATTACGGGGAGAGATTCGTGGCATTCGCATCCTGATGTTTCACCCGTTGCGCTGCCGCACATATCCGCCGCCGCGCTTCGGGAAGGAGCGCAGCAACGCTGTGGTATAGCACGGCCGCGGGTTTGGGATTGCATAGGTGTGGCGATGTCTCTTGGGAGGCCTTTTTCGAAGCCCCTCGGTGGCTCCTTGGAGGAACGTTTGGGGATCTTGGGGCCGCCTGGTTGGTCTTTGGATCGTTGGCCCGACTTGCAGGTATTCAGGCGTGCTCACGGCGTTTTGGGGTGCACTTGGTGGCGCGTGGAAGTCGACTCGGGGCTGTCTTCGGGCTGTCTTCGGGCCGTCTTGGCCGTTTCGAGGTCTTTCTGAGGGGCCTTCTGGATCGATGCGGTGGCAGATCCCTTGCCTGCGAGTAGCTGCGCTCACGTTGGAGAATTATCAGAGTGAGGGGACCGAACGGTCATTCATTGTTCCTAGGCGCGTTGTTGATTTGGGGTCCGCGGTGCATAGTGTTGTTGCTGCTGCTGTTGTTGAAATTGTATGTCTAAAGGATTGTTGCTGTTGTTGTCGTCGTCGTTGGTGTTGTGGTTGGTGATGTTGCCGTTGAGGTCACATTTCTAGAGCATAACCGTTGTTGATCCCCCCTCCCCGGTAATCAGTTTATTGTTCAATTACAGTGCTTCTCCTGAGGCTCGCACCTTTTTTGTTTTATATATATATAAAAGAGGACAGCGAGGTGCCACCTAACTGGGATGTAGGCCCCCAGTTTACAACAACAGCGGCCCCCGCCTAATACTTCCTGACAAGTTATTCCCAAATCGCGCTCTCGCGCGGGACTTCCTACCAGTTATTCAGAAATCGCGCTCTCGCGTGGGGTTTCCTTTCAATTTATTCAGACGCTGCGCCCTCGACGCTCAGGAATCACGCTCTCGCTGTGGATGTCCTCACGATTTATTTGGAAATCGCGCTGTCGCTCGAGACTTCCTTGCGATTCATGCAGGGCGCACGCTTCAGCAACCTGCCTGGTCGACCTGGCCTCCTGGGCCCGCCTTCCGACACGCCCGTTAGGGTCTACCTTAGCCCCCCTCCTGCTACCCTCTCTCGTGCTCCATCCTCCTCCCTCCCCCTTCTCTCTTCCTTCCATCCGTCCTCTCTTTCCCTGCCTTAAGGGCTGTACGAAATACATGTAGCAGGTAAGAAACAAATATACCCCCAAGGGGATAAGATCGAAGACGAAGAAGGCGGCTGTCGAGGGTTTGGGATCTTCGTGTTGGTTGGCACGCGAGCAGATAAGAGCGACCAGTTTTAAAAGGTTAATTATTGTTGATGTTGCTGTTGAACTCCTACTACTGAAGAATGATTATTGTTGATCCCCCCCGCCCGGTGCACATTGCATTTTCTCAATTGAAGAGCCCTTCCCGACGCTCGCACCTTGTTCGTTTTATCAGGGGAAGTCTTGAGGCTCAAACTGTGTTGTTGGCCCCGAGGTTACAACAACAACCAACGGTTCCCGCTTGAGATTTCCTCACAATTTCGCCAGGACCCCCGCTCCCGCCCGAGAATTCCTTGCATTTTATTCAGGAATCGCGCTCTCGCTTGGGACGTCCTTTTAATTTATTCAGGAATCGCTCTCTCGGCGCTCTGGAGTCGCGCTCTCGCTGGAGACGGGGTCGCAATTTACTGAAGAATAGCGCCCTTGCGTGAGAATGTCCCGCAATATGCTCTAGCGCCGCGCTCCCGACACTCAGGCACCCAGGAGTCGCGCTCACGCTTAGGACTCCCTCACAGATTATTTAGAAATCGGGATCTCGCTGCCCTTCGTGGCCCCATTGCAGCCCTCCGTGGCCCCCTCGCTGCCCCTCGTGGACCCGTTGCAGCCCCTCGTGGCCCCCTCGCTGCCGTTCGTGGCGCCGTCGCAGCCCTTCGTGGCCCCCTCGCTGCCCTTCGTGGCCCCGTTGCAGCCCTTTGTGGCCCCCTCGCTGCCCTTCGTGGCCTGATATATGTATGCCCTTCGTGGCCCCCGCTCTTTCGCGCCCGTCGTGGCCCGATGTGCATTCCCTTCTTGGCCCGGCTGTCGCCCTTCGTGGCCCCCTCGCTGCCCTTCGTGGCCCCGTTGCTGCCCTCAGTGGCCCCGTCCTTGCCCCCCTCGGCCCAATATACGTATGCCCCTCGTGGCCCCCGCTCGTTCGCGCCCGTCGTGGCCCCATGTGCATGCCCTTCGTGGCCCCGCTGTTGCCCTTTGTGGAACCTCGCTGTCCTACGTGGCCCAGTTGCGGCCCTCAGCGGCCCCGTCGCTGCCTTCTGTGACCTCGCGTTCTCTGCCCTTCGTGGCCCCCGCTCGTTCGCGCCCGTCGTGGCCCCATGTGCATTCCCTTCGTGTCCCCGCTGTCGCCCTTTGTGGCCTACTTCGTGCCCTTCGTGGCCCTGCTGTCGTTCTCTTTCTCGCTCTCGCTTTCGCTCGTCGTCGTCGTCGACGTCGTCGTCGTCGTCGACGTCGTCGTCGTGGTCGGTCCCCTGACCGTCCCTCTTGGGGTCGGATTGCCACCGACCAGCGCTGCCGCTGGCCAGGCCGACGGTCCGCGGCCGCCGGGGCCCAGCCTGCAGGGAAGGAAGGTATACCCCCGAAAAGGGGTACGATCGAAGACGAAAAGGGCGGGTACCGAGGGTTTGGGAAATACGCGTTAACGGACATTCGAGCAGATAAGAGCGAGCAGTCTTAAAATGATTGTTGAACATTATTACTTCTAAAGAATAATTATTGTTGGGGCCCCTGGTGCACGACCCCCCCGCCGCGCCTAGGCCGCAGCCACATTTTCATCATTTTCGCGAGGAAGTCTCAGGCAAAACGGGTTGGTCCGGATCCGGTTGTTTTGTTACGGCCCGCTTTCCCTTGCAAAAAATAAGCTAAAGTGGACATTTCTTGTTCTAACATAACCAAACTTCAAGAATCCCTTGCAAAAAATAAGGTAAAGTGGACATTCGCGCGCGCAAGACGAAATCCTTCCAAAACCTTAGTTTTCGTAGCGATTTTAACATAAAAACATCAAAAAACCAATGGTTTTTCAAAAAAAAATGTCAAAATTTCATCCCGCGCGCTCTTGCGGATTCGTAGGAAACCCAACACTTTTTAAACATTTCTGTCAAACGGGCTTTTGCGAGCAACTTTTTCGAACTTCTGCAACAACGGTTGCGCACCTGCCAGGGCCATCATCCCTGTCAAATAATACCATGCGGGACACATTCGTTTTTTCTTCGCGCGCGCACGCCGTCGTCGTCGGCCGCGGGGCCCTGAATAGTAGCCACGGTCGTCCGCATGCCACGAAGTGAAGTGTCCGAACGTCATAGGGCGGGAAGCTGGGTGTGGGTGGTGGCGAAGAGTCGTTTGGAAATTTGGTAGAGCTTGAACCGGCCCCCCCACAAAGTGGGGGTATTGCCCGCCTCCTATGAAAACCCTGGCACTGGTGAGAACGGAGTGTCCCCACGTGCTAGTAATTGTTGTTGTTGTTGTTGTTGTTGTTGTTGTTGTTGTTGTTGTTGTTGTTGTTGTTGTTGTTATTGTTATTGTTCTTGTTCTTGTTGTTGTTGTTGTTGTTGTTGTTGTTGTTTTTGCTCTGTGTGTTGTTGTCGCTGATGTTGTTTTTGTTGTTGTTGAACCTTAGTTCCTAAACAATTATGATTGTTGGACCCCTTAGATCCGCCCTGGCGCTCTCGCCTAGACGCCGTCTGCATTTCCTCTGAAATCGAGGTTCACGCTCTGGCGTTTCGGGGTTTCGCCAAACCAGCCCCCGAACAACAACAACAACAACAACAACAACAACGCTCTGGCTCGATACGTCATCCTTTTTAAACCGGCCCGGTGCTCTTGCTCGCCGCCGAAAGCCAGCTTTCCCACCAAACCAGCGCTCGGGCTCGACACGCCCTCGCCTTTCACGCAGGATCGGCGCTCTCGACTCGGCGCCGCAAACGGCCCACCATAGCAACAACGACGCTCCCGCGTGGCGTTTTACTCAAGACTGCGGCCCTCGTGTCGGAATCGCCTGTGGGGGGCTTCCAGAATCACTTGGGGAGTTC